AAATGTTTTATCGGCGGCGGCAAACATCCTCGAAATTGCAGAGTGAATTTTGGGGATTTTTTTTGGGGGGGGGGGGGAGCATGTACTGCAACAGATACATGTGTGGGAAATAGTCTCCAAAGCTTATGCTGCAGCTGTTCTATCTCCACTTCTTTTTTGCCACTTCCTATGGGAGCATCAATAGGAAAGTGTTTTGATTTTTTTGGGTCCTACGAAGCATTTTTAAAACAAAAATAAAAGCGCATTTTATGCAGGAAACTTTGAAGACATTCACTCCACAGTCGTTAGCAAGAACAGGCACGGGGCATCGTTTAATGGTTCCTATTCAGAAATTAAGTATGTCTAATTAATGGCTGAGAAGTTTTATGTTAGTTTCATGAATTTAGCTCACTTTAAAAATCACAATTTTTACAGGCGTCTGTGGTAGTATAACGCCCCCCCCCCCCCCCTTTTCCAAAAAGAAATCAACGGATTTGGAGAAGTTTCTTTATTCGATGTTTCGTTTTGTGTGTCTTTACACGGGGATTCAGGTTCTCGTCAATTTCTGGGCATACTGTTTTGTTTTTATTCATTTTCTTTTGGTTAGAAAATGCCCGTCTATCTTGAATAGCTGAAGTAAATATTAAGGGTTACCTGGTGCAACGGGAGAGAAAATGGCCGTCAAAGTTTGATACTTCCAAATCTTGAGTGTTCTTGGAAATATCCTTGGAAACTGCAAATTTACATTTTGTGGGCCTTTTATCAATGTGTTTTTAGTGAGATCGACATGGAAATCGGTTTTTAAATGACCCCCCCCCCCCTCGAAAGAAAGAAACAAACAAACAAACAAACAAACAAACAAACAAAGAAACAAAGAAACAAAGAAAGAAAGAATCTTTTTTTAAATTGAGGCGTCTTGCCCAAAGGGCGGATAAATGCCTATTTCTTCGGTTTCATTATTTTGAGGAGGACCCTGATTTCACCACGATGACCCACATTTCCGTTGGAGTGTATACGACATTACATAGGTTGTCCCTACGGGCAGGGTCCAGGCAGTCCCCCTCTTAAAAGACCTAAACTGATGTGGATCTATAAACGTACACTGCAATAAGCACAGTGGTTACATTATTTCATTCCTATCAAACGTCTACCTTCCTTAAGCCTCCTCAATCTTTCCTAAGCATGATACTCTTGAGAAACACCTCTAATCTTCGGCACGACGTGTATGACCTTACTGTGCCGAAAATGCCGCCGTAAAACTTAAACTAAAACATTGTTTCAGTTCACATACCTCTGACAAGAATGGTGCGACAGTAACCAGGCCACTTCTGGTCACTCTCCCGTGACTCTTCGTTCATCTCTAGGTGGGACATTGAGGCCAGTATCAGAAAACTGAAGAACACAGATTCATAAAATCATTACTGCATCTTGTATTATTACAATAATTATTCAAAGCTTACGTAATTTAAGATAACTAATTTGAGTAGAATATGACATTTAAGTTATACAAAAACCAACACTTCATTTTTTCAAATCATACACCATAAATGCCACCGGAACATTCCATTTTTACACAGATTCGTTTCCCAAAAGGGTTTTAAAGCAGAAAAAAAATCAATCAATCAAATTCAGATTGTCTTTTACTTGCCATTTTCGAAACACAGATCGGGTGATGGGTGATTACCTTTTGTTGTTTTACAAGTTGCTGTCATTGTCGTCGTCTTCGTCGTCGTCGTCGTTATTGTTGTTGTTGTTGTTGTTGTTGTTGTTGTTGTTGTTGTTGTTGTTGTTGCTACTGTTGTGGTTTATATTTATTATTTATGTTGAAGCTGTTATTCCTGTTATTGTAGCTGCTACTATCGTCGCTGTGGTTGCTGTGGGTTTTGTAATCTTTGATTCATTCGCTGTTACCATTGTCGTTATTCCTGTTGCTGTTCTTGTCTTCTTCTTGTTGTTGTTGTTGTTGTTATTGTTGTTGTTGTTGTTGTTGTTGTTGTTGTTTTTGTAAGCTTTACTAACGTCGACGTTGTCTTTGTTGCCGCTATACCAATGATTAAAACATCGACACGGAAAGCATAAAATTATGTCCAGTGGCAAGTTAGATTTCGCAAAACGTGTCTCCTCCCTCTTATGAGGAAATCTGGTCAAGTTCAAGCAGAGCAAATATGGTCAGTTCTTTTATTTTTATAATTTGTATTTGCTGGAGGTGCTGAATGAGACAGTATGCTCAAACCCAGGGATAAAACTATACTTGTTTTGTTTTTATTGTTGTCTGTTGTTAATGTTATTGTTGTTGTTGTATTCGTTGTTGTTGTTGTTATAGCTGTTGCTGTTGTTGTTGGTGGTGGTGGTAGTGGTGGTGTTGTTGTTGTTGTTTGGGTTATTTGTTGTTGTTTTTTTGGGATGGTTGTTCTTTGTTTGATTGTTTATTTGTTTGTTTGTTTGTTTGGGTTTGGTTTGGTTTTTGGTTTTTAGTTGTTGTTTTTTCTATTTTACTATTTTTTAGGGGGTTAGGTTTGTATTATTTTCCATGAATATTTACAGGAGACAGTGTTCACTGTTCAGACCTATAAATATAACAGACGTTCAATCCCCGTGGTTTTAGGCTGACGTGCACATTCGAATTGATAGCAGCCCTAGAAAAGAAGGTCTTTTCATCTTCGAAAATAATCGATATTCTGAGTTTTAGGGGGATAAAGAGGGGGTGGGGAGAACTTCCGGGCTGAAACAAACAAAAAGCAAAATTAATGATGTCTTACTTGGGTCCAGTTGAAATTGATCCCTGCCTGCCTCTTTTGTTAGGCTACGTCTCTTAGGATCATTTTATGACGTACAATTTACTCAATCATAACAAAAGCTGTTCTATTTATTGGCCAGTAATCGATTTATAATCCTTGATCAGTAAGTGCGTGATTTAGTTTGCTAGCTAATTGGAGAAATGCTTTTAAATCTTTTTAGTTAACTTTTCTATAACAGTATTACTTAGTTCGTTGCTTCGTTAGTTCGTTCGTTCGTTCGTTCTTTCGTTTGTTCGTTTGTGCTAGTTAGTTAGTTAGTTAGTTAGTTAGTTAGTTAGTTAGTTAGTTAGTTAGTTAGCTAGGGCTTTTTGTATATTTATTTATCATTTGTTTGTTTGTTAGTTAGCTCTAACATAGTTCTGCTAACTTACTCTTCAAATGATTTAACTAGTGCGTTTCGGTATAATTTCTTTTTTAAAATGTTAAGTGGTAGTCCCCCAGACGATGAATATTCTTTTGAAAGATAACTTTATAAAGCATTCTTACGTACATCAAGAAAATTGTGCTTCGCTATTTCGGCATACAGAGTGTATTGCTCTTGTATTGCAATTATTATCACGGTAAAAAGCTTGACATCGTGATGAAATAAGGCGCTCGTCAAAATAAAGAAATTGAAGAAATCAATATTTTTCCCCACGTTTGGGCAATTTTTATTGATTTTTTTTTAGGCCAGCGTCTTTTATGTTCTCTTAAACCACATTTCTGTGTGGACTTTTTCTGAAAACGGTTGACCAAAAGCACCAAAAAAAAAATCTGCAGTTTCCCATGAGACTCAAGCTATGGGAGTCACCAATTGTTGTGGGCTCTTTCTCCATAAGTTTATCATTGCCACCAGGTGACCCCCACTTCCTTATTTCGCTAATATCTTTACATCTATAGAAGACAGGTTGGTATTTCTTTTTTAAATCAGAATCAAAATAAATGAACAAGTTTTAAAGATTATTCTAATGACACCACATATCCAAAAATTAACAAATGCCCTATTTCACCTCATCAAGACATAAATGTATTACGCCTCTAAGTCAGAAGCGAGGTGTTTGACCATGTCTGTAAGGACCAACCCTGGCAGAGTGAGATACAGCATCATTCCAGAAAGACTGAGATACTCTATAGAATAGATCTCTACACTATGGAATTAATCTCACACCTTTTGGGGGCAATGCTGGCGAATCTATATATTATTACACCACAGACATGGGTATACCTGTCCATTAAAGAAATTGAGTATTCAACAAACGCATTTTAATACTTTTTTTTATCATGTCGTACTTTTTATTTATTCTTTTTCATATCTACAAGGTATTCAGTTTGCATAACGTGAGACTTTGATAAGAGTAAGTTAAGTTCAAAGGTGAGATGGTTTTCAAAGTTCTCTCCCACCATCTATCAAACAGAAACAGTAGTGATCCAGAGGCCATAATCTTATTAAATGAGGGTCAAAATACTTCCAAATGCCTAAAACTCAAAGAAAAAGTAATCTATATAGCCTACTTATCGAATGTCTTGTTTTTATTTATTTATGTATTTATTTATTCATTCATTCATTCATTCATTCATTCATTCATTCATTCATTCATTCATTCATTCATTCATTCATTTTTTTTTCGTTCATTTATTTATTTTGTGACTTATTTATTTTGTTTGTTGTTGTTGTTTTTTTATGTATTTATTTATTTTTGTAACATGTTCAACATTGCATTTATTTATCATTTTTCTATGCATTTCACTATATTTAGCTTTGTTGTTGATGTTGTTGTTGTTGTTTTTGTTGTTTTTGTTGTTGTTGTTGTTATTGTTGTTGTTGTTGTTATTGTAGATGATTTAATCATGCATTTATTGCGTTGCTGTTTCATGTTTTGGTCAGCGATAAGTCGAAAAAAATCCTCGGAATACAATGATTCTTGTACCTCCAAAGTGAATTTTTTAATGGAAAGAGTTCCCATGCTTTTCTTCTAAGACGTCATTTTTTAATTCTTTTTAAATGAAACATTTCGAACATTAAGACAAAATGAAGCCCATTTAACGCTAAATCTAACTTTAAAAACCTCACCTTCAGGTAGAAAAACAAGAGTTAAATATTTTCTCGCAGATAAAGCTGTTCAACAGAGAAAGTTTAGTAATTCCCAAAGGGCTCAGACACGCATCCACCACAGATGGCTCTGCGTCGCTGCTTTTCACTTCACTCCAACTTCTCTTTTCCCCGTCAGCCCCGCCCCCTTCCCA